CCTATATCCTTCCTATGGAAATGGGAGTTGAAGGGGAAAACAAAGACAGGGTCGGCAATATGACATTTCTCCTTAAACACTTGGATGTTGGAATCCTTCACCTCGGTCTTCCTCAACCTACGGTTGTCCTTAGCCCTGGCAGTTTCCCTAGCTATAGTTCTACGTATCCTCGCCATGGATGTGTGTTTTTGGGAGAAATATAGAAGGAGAATGAACATATGAAGAGAAATGGGGGAAGGAGAGATACTTACAGATGGAAGATCTTCAAAAGAGGAGCTCGGGAGATTAGAGGAAAGTGCTCGGGAGTTGATTGCAGAGAAAAATTCAAAGGTCCAAAAGTTTGGAAATAGCCAGACGATCTCCTATTTATACCCCAGAGAGGACGCGAGAATCGAGGAGACAGATCATCATTTGGAAAATATGAAAATTACGGCGCTAGAGGTGCAACTAACCGCCCTTATTAAATAGGCATGTTTGGCAAGCCACCACTCTCCTTGCACTACCTGTCCCACGCCGCAAAGAAAATGGAGGCTAGGGGGCGGTTGGAGGGACTTTATGTAGCTCAGTAGTCCCCAGAGTGACACGTGTACAGATGTAACTGTTATGGAGCTCAAAACGCACTGAGAAGTGGAGCCGAGGAGTAATGGCTTGGAGGAGCCAAGTACACAGACTAACACCAGTATTTAAGATGACTTGACAACTCAGTTTTGGAGATGTGAGTGACTGAGACAGGGTCATTAATAAACCCCTGCATCTTCGAGATCCAAACCATCAATCATGATTGCAAAGCATTAATGGCTATTGCACCGAGCTTATCTCCTCGACTCATACCGAGGCACTATTTCCTGGGAATTAAACGCTTGGGAGTAAGCGTCCAACACCGATCAGAAGGCTTTAATTATCAAGGATAGGGCTATAAGTGCTCGGCATGTCCCGAGCAATCACCCTATCGCCCGAGTAAACTAGGCACGAAGATTTGAATGGAGAACACTCATTACGCATAGGTAAGAGTGCGAATCATTAAATGTTGAGATGAGACTCCCTGTCCTTGCACTCATTACTAATATAGATATAAATACCCCTCAGAAAGATAAACAAAGGTATGCAAGACAAAACCAAAAAAGAAATACATTGTGCTCAAGCCTCCAAATTTATATTGACTTAAGCTTCGGAAGGGATAAGCTGGGTGTTCACCCGACCCCTTTTCTGACCTTGTGGTTGTTTCAGGTTCACCATTGAGAGGATTACTATCTCAATCTATTGTAGGAGAACTTCCTCTAAGTGCTCGGCATATCCCGAGTAAACTAAGCATGAAGATCTGAGTGGAGAATACTCATTACGCATGGGTAAGAGTGCGAATCATTAAATGTTGAGATGGGACTCCCTGTCCTTACACTCATTGCTAATCTAGATATATAAAATGAGATGGGATACGTTTGACACGCTGATAAACATTCATGAATTTATGAAGCTGAATAGCCAACTCATTAACTGCTTGTTCTAATTGAGTTATACCACCATGTACATGCGGATTGTTAACATATGTGTTTGGACCACCATGACTTCTCCTAAGTGACATGGTTTAAGAAAGATTGCAAACTCTAATACCAACTGATAGAGGGAAGTGGGTAGAAATATGAATATAATGAACGAAAGGAGATAATAAATAAATAAAAAAACCAGTTGATTGTGTATAAATATTGATTTAGATTATTACTTTAGGTATGTTGATTCACAAAAGAAAATCAGTCCTAAAGGCTTTAATAAATCTATTGATTTCTAAAAATACCTAAAAATTTAAAAAAAAAAAAAAAAGAGAGAGAGAGAGAGAAAACCCTCTCAATTGTATTTAATAATAAAAAATTATTTTTCCCTAAGGCTTATAAGAGTTTATATAATAAGTAGAAACCCTAAAACAACTAGAAAACTAGAATCCTAATTAAATTAAAAAGTCAAATAGAATAAAATCTTAATTAAATCAAAAAATAAAATAAAATAATTTCTTATTTAAATTAAAGGGTTAATCTCAACTTGCACCCTAAAATATCACTCGAATTTAAATTTGCACTTTCAAAGTTTAAAAATATTAATTTACATCCTGAAAGACATAAATTTGTATCAATGTACACCGGGAGTTAACTGTTATCCATTTTACAGTTAAAAAAGTTTGTGATAATTAAAATTGCACCTTCAAAGTTTAAATATTTAACATTTATGATTAAAAAAATTTTATCCATTAATTCTCGCTAAATACCTCTCAATTGTGGTATATGATGTTATTTTGTGTCATATTGTATCACTAGCAATATCCCGTGACTGAAGTCACTGAATATTAAACTATGACACTTTGCGTGTATTGGAGTGTGTATGTACAACTGAAGTGTATATATAATGTGTGTGTAGTGAGTGTGTATTAGAGTATGTGTAACTATGTGTTGTAGAGTATTTGTATTGAGTTTGTGAAATTTGAGAGGAAAAGTGTGTGATGGGTGTGTGAAATTTGGGGGGAAAAATATATCCCTCATAAGTTCAAACATCTAACTATTTTATTATATAAATTTTCGTGTTGTGTTTGAGTCGATAAAAAATATTTTTAACACAATTTTTTTGTGTCGAGTTAATAGCGTTGTGTTGTATATTTCACATTTACGCAAAATTTATATAATACTATTTAATACCAATGAACTTTTAGTTCAATAGTACTTCTCGTCTTCATAAATGTTTTGTTTTCTTGAGATCAAGGGTTCAAGTCTTAATCCCCTTCCCCCTCAAAAAAAAAACTATTTAATATTTTTTAAAAAATTATAAAAGTACCTATTTTTTTTACCTAAAATACTCATTAAATAACTATTTTCTGTTTACGGTTGTTTAATTCATATTTAACTTTAATTTGATCGAACAATCAAAAGATTTGTGTCTAACTTAGACAAAAAATAGCTATCTAACAAGTATTCTAAGCCAAAATAGGGATTTTATAATTTTTTAAAAATTTTAAAAATATTTTTCTGTTGACTAGAACATGACACAAAATATTATGATACAATACAATTGAAAACTAATTAATGAGCATTAATGGAAAAAAATTATTTTTGGGTCATAAATATAATATTTAAACTTTAAGTAATCCAAACTTTTTTAACGACAAAATGAATGATAGTTAATCTCAGGTGTACATTTATACGAATTTATGTCTTTTCAATTATAAATTAATAGTTTTAAACTTTGAGGGTATAAATTGAGATTCAAGTAATTGTTCAGGTACAAATTGACATTAGTCCTTAATTAAAAATTGCAATAAAAACTCTTAAATTTTTCAAATTGAATGACATTAACCATATTCAAATAAAATACCAAAATTCTTGTCATTTATTCTACATCTTTATTTTAGTCTACATCAATTCTGCTGGATCACATGAACGAGATTAGAACGGGACTTGCCAAAATTTCACTAGTATCAAAGAAATCTTCTAGATCTGAGCTTTACAAAAAATAAAAATATTATTAATTTTATAATATAAAATAAGATAAATTTCAATAAATTATTCCTTTAAACATGAGTTATTCCCTGTAAAATTATAATCCTAACAAATTCACAATAGAGGATCCCTTCTTATTGGTCCAAATGTCATGTAGCAAGACAAACACTCAATCCTCAAAAGACGTAAGATTGAATGATTTTAATTTTCTTAGTCTCCGGATGGATTTCATACGTAAATTTCTTGGAATCTTTTAAGAAGGGTTAAACGTTACGATATTTTCAGTATCGTGTTAAAAAATAATTTGTAACGTTAATTTTAAATTAGATAATTCATAACTATTAATTAAAAAAATAATAAAATACACACCTAGAAATTTTTACTGTCGAAAAAATCAAAATATAATATTAAAGGTAATGGAGACGATTACAGTACCCATTTTTTTTGGGCACAATATCGAAAAATATAATTATTAAAGGTAAATAATCTACAATTATTTATGAACCACATCACAACATTTGAAATCGTTGTTGAAATGTTATAATTGATAATAATCTCAATCAGTTGCAAAATCATCTTTAAAAAGTATAACTAAAATTTTCAAATTTATTCATTTCCTCCTCTGTTAATTTATAATTTTCTATAACAGATTTTACGTCGATTTGTACAATGCACAAGCCATCATTAGTATGATAAAAAGCTTTTTGATCTAGATTTAAAAAAAATAAAAAATAAAATGAAAGCAGTAAATATATCCTTTTCAAAATCCTTATTCCTGACCAGAAAAAAAATCCTTCTCATTTGTCCAAGATCCCTTCTTATTGGTCCAAGTCATGCAATGTCATCTAGCATAAGACAAACACTCACAATCCTCCAAAGTCATATGATTTAAAATGGCTTTAATTTTCTTGTCTGCCGATGCTACTCATGTGTAAATTTCTTGAAATCTCTCGAGAGATTCATCGTATTATTCTCACCTCACACGGCACAATATTGTTGTCAGTACATAAGAGCCAAGACCAAGTCCTAATAGTTGTGCCTTTCATGGACCACATAAAGAGTCACAAAATTCAACTCACTTGTAATGCTCTTCTGTTAATCACAAGGTAGATATTTTTTTATATGTTAAACTCATTTGTACAAAATAAATTCTAAATAATTATTATCTATTAATTATCGGTTGTTCATTAAACTCGAGAGATAAGTAATAATCAAATCGAGAGTATAATTGTTTTGAATTGACCTCCTTCATGAGTATAGTCGTCCTTTTATCTCAACAAGCAAAGCCTCTTGATAATTGTATCATAAGATTGCGTATTCGGCTGCCACCCAAGTACGCGCTATGGTTTGAATATTTTTTCCATAGGTAGGAGCAAAATTCCACAGTTTACAATATGTATGTTGAACACAGACAAACCTCATGTCTTCTAATACTTACGATTTACATGACAATGACTCAATATCCTAGTAACATTTACGCAATTTCCAAGCAAATTCATGCACTGCCATGTGTATATATGCTATCCACATTCTCATAATTTAAGTTCTAAGCTCTATGCATTAAATCTAGCAACTACCAGGCTATAACCAAAATGGCTTTCCCACTCACTTCTGTGTGTACACTCATTTGTTTTCTTCTCATTTTCTCCAACTATGGAACCTTCACATCTGCACAGACAAAAACCACGAGCATCGGAGCAGTCATCAACGATGATACTCGTATCGGAAAGCAAGTGAAGGCAGCCATGAAAGTAGCTGCTCAAAACTTCAATAGCTCCTCTTTGTACCATAAATTATCTCTTCATTTTCGCAACCCTGGTGGAAATCCCCTCCAAGCAGCTTATGCAGGTGATTATGTAAAACCCGATAAAAAAAAATAAAATATATTATTAATCCTAATAAAAATAAAAGGGTAAAATAATAATTAATTGTTAAATTATGGGTCAAAAACATAAAAGTCTTCCATTTTTTGGGTGTTCTACAGCCGGCGAGAAAAAGAGAGTGAGAAAAAAAAAAGAGAGTTTTTATTTTTTTTTCTCTTTTATTCCTTCTCAGATCTAGGAAAATTTAACCGTTTAATCGCTTCGGGCCAAGAACTAAAGTTGCTCTACTCAGCGAGAGCTACGCAACCACACCAAAGATCGTATTTTTCTTCGAAGGTATATCAAAGCCGATAATCTAGACCTAAAACTTAGGAACCTAAATTTGGGCTTCCTTGGCGTTCTTGTAAGTGGTCTCACGCTACGAGAGGTAGGGTTTCCCCTATTTAGATTTAATTTCAACTTAAAATATGACATATGGAATGAGTAGATTATGAGTGTATGTCACATGTTAGGTCTTGACTAGTGGGTCAAATATAGAATTTATAATTAATCTTGTGATTTATAAAATTCTATTGTGATTAACTTAGTTTAAAGCATGTTAATTGTATGTTAGCATTACTTTATATTTTAATGGAAGATCAAGTTTAATAAAATTATTAACTTGTTATATGATTGTGAAATAATATATATATGTTAAATGATTATTTAACATATGATTATTTTGGTGGACTTTGTACTTATGTTAAACATGTTATCATGTTGCAAGTCATAGCATGCTAGTTGTGTAAATTGATGTGCTCTTTAGGTGTTTGATTAAATGCTTAGGTGAATACAAGTATGTTAGTTGAGTTGATTATCTTACATAACATGCTTGAGATCGTGTTAAAATGTCATTACATTGTATTTCATTATGCATGGGTTGCACTACAATCATGGGCATTGACATGGGTGAGAGTGTATGCATGGTATGAAATCAATCACCACGTAGGTGGTTGAACGTGGACTCGAAAAAGTCGCACCAAGGTTCGGTTGAGTCGCACGAGAAATTAAATGGATAAATGTGTTGGGAACAGCACGAAGGGCTAAATTCTCCCTCGGGTGCAAGACCCGCTTACTTGGTTTATACACTTTCCGGCGGTAAAATTCCAAAAAAGTGTAACGGCGGAAACGGAGCCGCAGGTGGGATGTCCTGAAGATCCGTTGATGGTTTGTGTCTCATTGGTGTAATACCATAAATCATCTCCCCACAAAGACACAAGAAAATGAATTAATTAACATTGAGTGTACATAACACCAATGATGGGGGCTTGGAATGCTCGGATACATACGCATGACATTGCATGTGTTATGGGAGCTCAGGATGGGGCTCGGGGTTGGTATTGCTTGCGTGAGTCTCATCTCATGGCATGATATGATCTATAACATTCAATCATAATAGACATATTTAAATGAATGTATCAAATGATCGTTGCATGTGACATTCCATATTCATTTAGGTTGAGAGGTATTTTCTATAGGAGTTACCCTATTGAGCGTTAGCTCACCCTTTATGGGAACATTTTTCAGGTATCGCACAGGCTTCCACCGAAGGCGAGGCCATGGGCCCGCTTTGACGACAGAGTCGGTCTGTGGCTTTTATTTTGACATTGTAGTCCCTTGTTTATACTTACTTTTGGCCTTGTATAATTTTTGTAACAAACATTGTTTATATTTACAAAGGCATGTATATGGGACTCTTTTGGGACATTTATTCTTTTACGAATAAATGTATGTACTGATAATGATTATGGTAGTATTCGAGACTATACAATTGTGAATGGATAGATAGACCCGGTGTGGTCAATGTTGTACAGGTTGCGTTTTGAGTAGAGCTCCTTGTACAAAGGAGACTCTGTCCAAATTTTGTTAAGTTATGGATCCCAAGAAATGGGGCATAACGGTGTGGTATCAAATTACACGATATCCACCAGTATTACACAGGTCGATGGATAACCAATCGGATAATTACAGACACCCAGACTTTGGGGTGTCACAGTTTGGTATCAGAGCCTAGGTTCACGATTTACCTAGGGCTTACAGGGCATGGGTTTAAGTCATTGCTTCCAGTTTGTATTGCATGTTAAATGTATTAAATCTTTCATGCTATGTGTTATGAGATTATATGCATGATTAAATGTATATAGGAATGAGGTACTATGGTTAGAAACCATGAGTTGGGAAGGAAAAGGATGTGTAAGCCTATTGTTTGCACATTTACCGATAGGTATATATTCTACTGTTTTAACTTTGATCCCTAACTTTGAGATACTAAGTTAGTGGTCTATTGCTATCTTATGTGTGTGTAGATGGCAACAAGAGGAAGGGGACGTCGGGGTGGACGAAACAACCAACCACCACCACCGGCTTTCGATCAGCAAGCCTTTATGGAGGCTATGGGCGCGATGACCGCCACCTTTTTGCAAGCCAGTTCTAATGTGGGCCAAGGAGGCTCGAACAACCTACAGAAGTTTAGGTCCCACAACCCACCAACTTTTGTAGGAGGAGGGGATCCGATGGTAGCTGATAATTGGTTCCAACAGGTGGACAAAATTTTGGAAGCTATGGAGATTGTATCTGATGCCACGAAGATTCGATTGGCCATTTTCCAGTTTGAGGGAGACGCCCATCAATGGTGGACATGGGCAAAGCCGATAGACATCGGAAGGATGACATGGGGAGAGTTTCAAGAACTCTTCATGAAGAAATATTTCCCACCAGCTGTTCGGGAAGTCAAAGCCCATGAATTTCTAAACTTGAAGCAAGGAGCGATGACGGTTATGCAGTACGTGGCCAAATTCACAGAATTGGCACGTTTTGCGGATGACTACGTGGCCACTGATTTGGCCAAGGTACGGAGGTTTGAAAATGGCCTAAAGCTATCCATCCGCGGGAAGATTGTTGGCCACAGGTTGCACGAATTTGATGAGATGGTCGAGACAGCCATGGCTATAGAGAGAGAGGTGGAAGATGCCAAGAGGATTCGGGAGGCTGGATCAAAGGACAGGAAGAAGGAGGGACAGTTCTCCACTACTAGCTCGGGGAAGAGACAGAAGATTTCTACCCCACCAGGGGACAGGGAAATCAGTTGCAATTTCAGGGTACGGCACAGGCCCCTACCACTTCACGAGCGGGGACTCCGCAGTCAGGCCAGGGCATGGGCCGAGGCCGGGGACAGGGCTTTCAGGCCGGGACTTCAGGGACCCAGGGGCGAGTCTTCGCCATCACACCACAGATTTTACCGGCAGATCAGTCAGTAATTCAGGGTACATTTCTTCTCTCTAGATTATGGACAAAAATATTATTTGATTCTGGTGCATCACATTCTTTTATTGCTACATCATGCCTACGAGACTTGGGTATAGAGGCCGAGACTCTGGATGAGCCCATGTATGTGAGTTCACCCCTAGGAGACAGAGTTTGTATTGACAAGATATGTCGGGGTTGTGAGTTGGAGATCGAAGGAACCCAACTTACTGTTGACCTTAGGGTTATCGAGATGACGGAGTTCGATGTCATACTCGGGATGGATTGGTTGGCGGCACATAAAGTCGTCATTGATTGCGAGCGTAAGAGGGTTACAGCTTACACTTTAGACGGAATTTGTTTCAAGTTTCAGGGGGAGAAACACAATGCCTTACCCCATGCCGTATATGACTCCCGATGGCACGGGCAATTGATAGGTTGGCTTGCTAGCCTTACACTGGAGGACGAGGAGAAACAGGAATTGGGTCTGCCTCGAGTCGTGTGTGACTATGCGGATGTCTTCCCGGATGAGTTACCAGGGTTACCACCGCATCGGGAGGTAAATTTCACTATAGAGTTACAGCCCGGTGTATCCCCTATTTCTATGGCACCGCATAGGATGGCACCAGCGGAGTTGCAAGAACTTAAAGTCCAGTTACAAGAGTTATTGGACAGAGGCTTTATTAGGCCGAGTACTTCACCTTGGGGTGCTCCGGTACTATTTGTCAAGAAGAAGGACAGGACGCTTAGGCTCTGCATTGACTATCGGCAATTGAATAGGGTCACTATCAAGAATAGGTACCCTTTGCCACGTATTGATGACTTGTTTGACCAGCTGAGAGGGGCACAGGTTTATTCCAAGATAGATTTGCGCACGGGGTACCATCAGTTGAGGATTAGAGATGTCGACATTCCAAAGACGGCATTTCGAACGCGTTATGGGCATTTTAAATTTATTGTGATGCCATTCGGATTAACGAATGCCCCAGCGGCATTCATGGATCTCATGCATAGGGTGTTCCAGCCCTACCTAGATCAGTTCGTTGTGGTCTTTGTTGATGACATACTGATCTACTCCAAGTCTGAGGAGGAGCATGAAGGTCACTTGAGGGTTGTTCTCCAGATCTTGAGAGACCACCAGTTGTATGCCAAGTTCAGCAAGTGTGAATTTTGGCTTACGGAGGTAAAATTTTTGGGACACGTGGTGTCAGCTTCGGGTGTGTCAGTTGATCCGGAGAAGGTTGAGGCAGTTATGAGTTGGGAGAGGCCGAAGTCAGTCTTTGAGATACGTAGTTTCTTAGGATTGGCAGGGTACTACCGGAGGTTCATCAAGGACTTCTCTCGACTAGCCGCACCTATGACCAAATTGACCAGGAAAGAGGTCAAGTTTCAGTGGGATGAATCGTGTGAGAGAGCATTTCAAGAGTTAAAGAAGAGACTTACTTCAGCTCCGATTTTGATAGTTCCGGAGAGGGGACAGAGGTACACAGTGTATTGTGATGCCTCCAAAGACAGACTTGGGTGTGTTTTGATGCAGTCTGGGAGGGTGGTAGCTTATGGTTCTAGACAGTTGAAGAGCCACGAGCAGAACTACCCCACACATGACTTGGAGTTAGCGGCTATTGTCTTTGCCTTGAAGGCATGGCGCCACTATCTATATGGAGAACAGTTTGAGATATTTTCGGACCATAAAAGTCTGAAGTACATTTTCACGCAGCGGGACCTCAATATGAGACAGCGCAGGTGGATGGAGTACCTAGAGGACTATGACTTCACTTTGCATTACCATCCCGGTAAGGCAAATGTGGTGGCTGATGCACTGAGTCGAAAGTCACGGGGAGTTTTGGCCAGTATAGCTTCCCAGGAGTGGCTGATGCTTGAGACTGTTGGACAGTTCAGGCTACACTACAGAGGTCAGACTCGTGGCACTTTGGGGAGTCTAGCGGCTACGCCTTCCCTACTAAGCAGAGTGATCGAGTCCCAGGGCCAGGATACAGAGATATTGTCTATTAGGGATCGCGTACAGTCGGGTACAGGTGACGAGGGCTGGGCCGTTCACGCGGATGGTAGTCTTCGGTTCAGGGGAAGGGTTGTGGTTCCCCAATCTGCAGATCTGAGAGAGGAGATCCTTAGGGAGTTTCATTGCTCCCGTTTTGCTGTGCATCCAGGTAGTACAAAGATGTACCATGATCTTCGCCGCCAATACTATTGGAATGGGATGAAGAAGCACGTTGGAGATTTTGTTAGTCGATGTCTCACATGTCAGCAGGTCAAGGCTGAACATCAGAGACCAGCAGGGTTGCTCCAACCTTTGGAGGTGGCTGAGTGGAAGTGGGAGCACGTCACGATGGATTTTGTGACTCACTTGCCACGGACATCGCGAGGGCATGACGTATGACCTTCACACTGGAGGATTTTTGTAGACTGTACATACGGGAGATAGTTCGATTACATGGGGTGCCCGTATCTATAGTATCCGATCGGGACCCTAGGTTTACGGCCCATTTTTGGGAGAGTTTTCAGCAGGCCATGGGAACACAGTTGATGATGAGTACCGCTTTTCATCCCCAGACGGACGGTCAGTCAGAGAGGACTATCCAGACCTTAGAAGACATGCTACGGGCATGCATCCTTGATTTCAAGGGTGGCTGGGAGGAGCATTTACCATTAGTAGAGTTCGCCTACAACAACAGTTATCAGGCGAGTATACAGATGGCACCTTATGAGGCACTTTATGGGAGGCCGTGTCGTTCTCCGATTTGCTGGACCGAGGTTGGAGAGAGACCCTCCACGGGTCCGAATTTGATTAGAGACACTTCAGAGAAGGTGGACTTGATACGGAAACGTCTTATCACGGCTCAGAGCCGGCAGAAGAGTTACGCTGACAGACGGCGACGACCTCTGGAGTTCGAGGTTGGAGATCATGTCTTCTTAAAGGTGATGCCTAAGAGGGGAGTGGTCAGGTTCGGAAAGCGGGGAAAGCTGTTGCCGAGGTATATCGGGCCCTTCGAAATACTTGAGAGGGTTGGTACAGTTGCCTATCAGTTGGCATTACCGCCTAGTCTATCTGGTGTTCACGCGGTGTTCCATGTTTCTATGCTCCGAAAGTACACTCCAGATCCTACACACGTGGTGGATTGGGGTGAGCTAGTGGTTGATGCAGATGGAACCTTTGAGGAGGGACCAGTGCGTATCATGGACAGCCGAGAACAGGTTTTGCGGGGCAAGACTGTGAGGCTGGTAAAGGTGTTGTGGCAGCACCGTGGGATGGAGGAGGAGACATGGGAACGTGAGGACACTATCCGAGCTACCTATCCATTTTTGTTCGAGAATGGAGGTACATCTCTTACAGTCATAGAGTATTTAATAATTTTTTTTTGCATATGCATGTCGTTATATATGCATGTGGGTATAATTTCGGGGACGAAATTCCCTAAAGGGGGAGAGAATGTAAAACCCGATAAAAAAAATAAAATATATTATTAATCCTAATAAAAATAAAAGGGTAAAATAATAATTAATTGTTAAATTATGGGTCAAAAACGTAAATTTAAAAAAAAATAATATATATATATATATATATATATATATATATATACAAGTGGAAGACTTTGTCTTCCACTTTTTGGGTGTTCTACAGCCGGCGAGAAAGAGAGAGTGAGAAAAAAAAAAAGAGTTTTTATTTTTTTTCTCTTTTCTTCCTTCTCAGATCTAGGAAAATTTAACCGTTTAATCGCTTCGGGCCAAGAACTAAAGTTGCTCTACTCAGCGAGAGCTACGCAACCACACCAAAGATCGTATTTTTCTTCGAAGGTATATCAAAGCCGATAATCTAGACCTAAAACTTAGGAACCTAAATTTGGGCTTCCTTGGCGTTCTTGTAAGTGGTCTCACGCTACGAGAGGTAGGGTTTCCCCTATTTAGATTTAATTTCAACTTAAAATATGACATATGGAATGAGTAGATTATGAGTGTATATCACATGTTAGGTCTTGACTAGTGGGTCAAATATAGAATTTATAATTAATCTTGTGATTTATAAAATTCTATTGTGATTAACTTAGTTTAAAGCATGTTAATTGTATGTTAGCATTACTTTATATTTTAATGGAAGATCAAGTTTAATAAAATTATTAACTTGTTATATGATTGTGAAATAATATATATATGTTAAATGATTATTTAACATATGATTATTTTGGTGGACTTTGTGCTTATGTTAAACATGTTATCATGTTGCAAGTCATAGCATGCTAGTTGTGTAAATTGATGTGCTCTTTAGGTGTTTGATTAAATGCTTAGGTGAATACAAGTATGTTAGTTGAGTTGATTATCTTATATAACATGCTTGAGATCGTGTTAAAATGTCATTACATTGTATTTCATTATGCATGGGTTGCACTACAATCATGGGCATTGACATGGGTGAGAGTGTATGCATGGTATGAAATCAATCACCACGTAGGTGGTTGAACGTGGACTCGGAAAATTCGCACCAAGGTTCGATTGAGTCGCACGAGAAATTAAATGGATAAATGTGTTGGGGACAGCACGAAGGGCTAGATTCTCCCTCGGGTGCAAGACCCGCTTACTTGGTTTATACACTTTCCGGCGGTAAAATTCCAAAAAAGTGTAACGGCGGAAACGGAGCCGCAGGTGGGATGTCCTGAAGATCCGTTGATGGTTTGTGTCTCATTGGTGTAATACCATAAATCATCTCCCCACAAAGACACAAGAAAATGAATTAATTAACATTGAGTGTACATAACACCAATGATGGGGGCTTGGAATGCTCGGATACATACGCATGACATTGCATGTGTTATGGGAGCTCAGGATGGGGCTCGGGGTTGGTATTGCTTGCGTGAGTCTCATCTCATGGCATGATATGATCTATAACATTCAATCATAATAGACATATTTAAATGAATGTATCAAATGATCGTTGCATGTGACATTCCATATTCATTTAGGTTGAGAGGTATTCTCTATAGGAGTTACCCTATTGAGCGTTAGCTCACCCTTTATGGAAACATTTTTCAGGTATCGCACAGGCTTCCACCGAAGGCGAGACCATGGGCCCGCTTTGACGACAGAGCCGGTCTGTGGCTTTTATTTTGACATTGTAGTCCCTTGTTTATACTTACTTTTGGCCTTGTATAATTTTTGTAACAAACATTGTTTATATTTACAAAGGCATGTATATGGGACTCTTTTGGGACATTTATTCTTTTACGAATAAATGTATGTACTGATAATGATTATGGTAGTATTCGAGACTATACAATTGTGAATGGATAGATAGACCCGGTGTGGTCAATGTTGTACAGGTTGCGTTTTGAGTAGAGCTCCTTGTACAAAGGAGACTCTGTCCAAATTTTGTTAAGTTATGGATCCCAAGAAATGGGGCATAACGGTGTGGTATCAAATTACACGATATCCACCAGTATTACACAGGTCGATAGATAACCAATCGGATAATTACAGACACCCGGACTTTGGGGTGTCACAGTTTAACTCCTGACTCTCATGTTTTCTAACTGGTACACACAAACATGTATATTCAACTCTAAATTCCATGCGGACAAACTAAATATTGTAGCAAGAAGTGTGAACTTTATTTTACAGTTCTATACAAGCTAAATATAAATTGTGATAGAAACACAACATAATGGATGAGAAAATCTTTTAGAAAAGAAAAATAATAAAGGATCCAAAAACATAAATAAAGCTCACCATATTATTCGTTAAACAAAATATTCAAATAAATATTCTATATATGTTTAGAGAAGGCAAATAACCATGCTTGTATTCTGTGTCGACCATCCCCTGCTCTTGACATGTTAGTCGAAGATCTCATAGAATGACCATTTGTTTGAAGGACAATGCCATATGTGGCTTCTTCTAGTTGCTCCAAATCAATTTCATCATCACCTGTTATTGATACCTATTGATGATGCACAAAATTTGTTTGCACACCACCTGTCAACTAAGCAATATAAATGCAGTAAGTAGAGGGAAAGAAAAGAAATAAGATTTATAGTGTTTCGGTCAACAAGACTTACATCCACTTTCAATGGCAAAGTTCCCGGGGAATTTAATTAATTCCGGTATGTTGGGGAAGCAGAGAATTACAAGGGAAAAAAGATGAGCTTGATTTTTGTGAGATGTCCCCCAAGTGTTGGGAGAGCTTACAATTTATAGACGTCTACGCAGTGATTGAATAGCTAGACTGGCGGTCATAATGGGACAACTTAATAGTATTAAATAGCTTAACAACCTTTCCTCTCCTCGGCGACCTTTCCTCCCCTCAACGGGCAAGAAAGTTATAGTGCTCTCCAAAGAACTTAGTCATAGGATGAGGGAAGGTTGACTCTCTCCAAGCGACGAGAGTGGATGCTCCCTTAGTGGCATAGCTTTTTGATGGGCTTGATTGGCTTAGACCTCATAGGGCCTGTTGGGTCTTCTACAAGCTTGGGCTCTAAATTAAATTGGACTTTCCATATGAATTGGGCCATTTGGATCTTGCCCATCACCTATTATGCAAGAAAGGTACGATATTTGAAAATTATTTCCATCATAATTGATAATTATTTGATCGTCTTTCTCAAGGAAAAACGGAGGGAGGGACCCATTTGAAGCAGTTGTTCGAATGACCCAATCAATCCTAAGAATAAGCCTGTTTACTAAGAAGTAGAAGTTCACATTCACTTAATTTGTACCCGCTCCAATAAGAAAGCTGTTAGATTTTAGGGTAAATTTCATTAACACCCCTTATATTTAAGTCATAATTTACTGACATCCCTTTTAGCTTTTGAAATATCACTCATACGTCATGCCAGTTTTTGTCTGTTAAGAGACCTAATAGAATACGTAATTTTACTAAATTATCCTTGCTAGAACTCCTATTTTACTTAATTACTCTTACTCAAATTAATACAAAATTAATCTATAATTTTATCAAATTAACATCAAATTGACATTTAATTTTGTTTGATTAATATTTAATTTTATCAAATTAGCACCAAATTAACATTAAATTTGGTCAAACTAACATTCAATTTTATTAAATTAATATCTAATTTCAAAAAATTAACACCAAATTAACATTCAATTCTATCAAAATCTCATTAAACTTCATCAAATTAATATTCAATTTGATCTAATTAACACCAAATTAACTATTAATTTTATAAAGTTAACATTCAATTTCACCAAATTAATACAAGATTTTACCAAATTAATGTGAAATTGATTTTAAATTTTACAAAATTATCATTTTATTTCCGCAAACTAATATTCAATTTCATCAAATCGATATTCAAGTTTATAAAATTAACACCAAATTAATATTCAATTTCATCAAATTAACTCTAAATTAATATTTAATATCATTAATTTAAAATCCAATTTATCAAATTAACATTATTTTTTTTGATTGAATTTCAAATTAACATTCAAATTCATCAAATTAATACCAAATGATCATTCAATTTTATAAAATTAATATTTAATTTTTTGAATTTAATATTTAGTTTCATCAAATTAATATTATTTGTTTAAAACTAACACCAAATTAACATTTTGTTTGATCCATTTTTTTTATAGGGAACATTCTATTTAATCCAATTAACATTTAATTTAATTTAATTAATACTAAAAGGATGTTTTCTAGCACTTTAAGCTTGTTTTATAGAGCTAAGGGTAAATTTGGTAATTTATAAGAAAATAAACAATCATATCACACATTTTTTGCTTATCATCAATGACATTAGAAAGTAGTGGTAGTTTGTGAAACGTGTATATAAATTATAAGGATATACAGTGATATTTTAAAAATTAAAAGAGGTGTTAGTAAAATATGACTTAAATTTAAGGGATGTTACTGAAATTTATCCTAGATTTTACTTTAAAAATTTCTCAGGGACTATTTTTTGGTACGTGACACAAATAGGAGATTGACGGTGTTTAGTAGGGGTATTCAAATTTTTTGAATTACAAGAATATTTCGACTCTTCTCGACTTTATCATACCTTACTGATCAGCTATTACAAAAAATTGGGTAGGCCAACGAAAGAAATTTTGGTATTCTATAAAATCGGGTAGAAATACAGAATATCCATAAAAATTTGTCTTCTTACCCGACCCTACCAGCATATATATATATATATATATATATATATATATATATATATATATATATATATATACACACTTCATCCGGAGTTCCCGGAGGCCTTCCTGATGTCCTTGCTTTCCTTGGCCTTTCTCTTTGATTGGACTTCCGGAGTAGTCTTTCGGAAAGTACATCCAGAATTCTGGACGTCTCTTCAGGGTTACGATTTTGCTTTAGGCTTTTTGTCATTTTCTTTCTTTTTTAACTTTGGCCCATGTCCAATTGCAAGTATTAGTCTGTATTAGGATGTTTGTGATCATTAAAATCATACTTATCAAATCATTGGGTCAATAGTTTGGTGGGTTACCATGGTTTGTGTGATAATTATGTGTTTGTGTGCGTGACAGAGCAAGAACGAGTGGGCGGATGTGTTTGAGTGAAGGGTTAAATTTGTTTTGGGATTCTTTTTGTCACAACTTAGCAAAAATTGGGAGTTGCCGCATTGATATTGAAGTGTTAGGGTGACTACATAGTTTAAGGAAATGTTCGAGCTGGTGTCGTTTCAATTTACCTAATTGGATATATATCTAGACCATTTTAATTTGGTCCTGAACTCCAAGAAAGTTATAAATAAGTTTTTGAGTATCTATTTCTATTGAGAGAGAGATCAGTTTGATGTCCAGTTCAATGGAACCCACTATGGTTTAAGATACTGTTTGGTTAACAGTTTAAATTTTATCACAATATCATCTTTGGCACATGTACAAAACTCACATTCCTATTTACACTCGACCTTCACTCACGTCTCTATCAATTGCTAATTGCCCATGCAAAATTCTTGGAAGATAAATATTAGAGAAACGCAAACTTCTTCAAAACATATGTTTGGTGCATGTCACAGAAGCAAGTAAAAAGTTGAAGAGTGACTAACAACAACCACAAAGAAATAGATTGGATTTAACTTTAGTATATGTAAATTATTACTAAAGTATCTTTTCAATAACATCAAAGGTAACCTTAAAGTTTGTGAGGTTTTGGATCATCCTTTTTGTACTCATTCGAGATCTGCAAACATAATCACCTTTTATTTAATCCAGCAAAGACTCGTAAATGAAGGCGCTATTGGGTCTCTCGCCTGCATCTTCTATCCCTCTGTATAGGGGTTCTCTAGGTCCTTTGGGTGATCCTTCATCTACTCATAGTGTGGAGATTGGTTGTAATTAGCGAGTCATCTATAGTATTATTATTACATCCCTGTACATTAAAAAAATATATATATTAAAAAATCAAGTATTGATGTTGTCAAGTCTTTCGATTAATGGTGCAAGTGTTGGTTAGTTGATAGTTGTGGTTGAAGCATTTTAATTAACTTAGAATTTTTGGTACAGCTCAATAACTTATGGAAAAGATAAACGTGCAAGCCCTTGTTGGCATGGAAACATGGGAGGAAACAGCTTTAGTTGCTGACATCGGAAACCAGGCTCAAGTGCCTATTGTTTCATTTGCATCAGTCGTTATACCACCACTAATGCCTCGGCAATGGCCTTTCTTGGTACAGATGGCTAGCAATGTCAAGGAGCAAATTAGATGCACCACAGCTATTGTTCGATCATTCGATTGGCAAAAAGTCATAGCCATCTTTGAGGCTGACTACTATGGTAGCGATTCTGGAATGTTTGTTGTATTATCTGATTCACTGCAAGATGTTGGTGTGGCAATTGAATATCGTTTAGTTCTTCCACCATTCTCCTCGCTAGATGACCCAGAAAGCTTTGTTACTGAAGCGGTAGCAGAACAATTGAGCAAAGAATCTAGGGTTTTTATAGTTCTTCAATTGTCATTATCAATGTCTGTTCGTTTGTTTAGAGAATCAAAGCAGATGGGACTTAATGGGAGGGATTCAGCATGGATAATTATTGACCCCGTCGCAAGCTTTCTGGATTCTGTTAATACTTCAGTTATATCCTCTATGGCAGGTGCTCTAGGAATCAAGACATATTTTACTGAAGACAGTAGGTCTTTTCTGCACTTCAAACACCAGTTTAGGCGAATTTTTCAATCAGAGTATCCAGATGAAGATACCTCTGAGATGGGAATTTATGCATTACGAGCATATGATAGCATTACTGCCACTACAAATGCCATAAAGAGGACAGGTAATAGCAGTAAAGTTCCAACTACACTACTCAAAAAGTATTTTATCAAGCAACTTCACTGGTTTAAGTGGTGACATTCGTTTCCATGCCGGAGAGCTAGCAGGACCCTCTATATTTAGAGTTGTAAATGTTGTTGGAAAGAGATACAAAGAGCTTGGCTTCTGGTCATCGACACTTGGTTTCTCAGAAAGACTTGTCATTGAAGAAAGTGGACCTGAAAATAGGAGTGATAACAAGGAAATATTGTCTGGTTTGGTGAATTGGCCAGGGGACCTAAAGCGAGTTCCAAAAGGATGGGCAATGCCTACTGATGCAAAACCTATGAAGATTGGAGTTCCAGGTATACCTTTTTTTCAGACGTTTGTGAAGGTGGATTGGAATGGAGGTTCAAATGAATTGAGCTTTCCTGGTTTCTGCATTGATGTCTTCTATGAGGTGCTAAACATTTTGGAGCGAAGTTATCCCCTACCTAATGAATTCATACCCTATAATGGCACCTAGGATGATCTGGTTGATCATGTGGCTAACAAGGTAATAAGTATGTTAGAGTTCTTATTTTCTATATTAGACATAAGTTAACTAGTTAGAGAAATATTTGTAATTACCCTAATATTACATATTTATAAATAAAATATTGTATATATGATCACATACATTTTATATACAACATACAAACAGATATACCTCATGAATGATCCCATTATATCTACCATTCCTTAAAGTATTCTCAATACCTACACGATCATATTATACTCAACATAACCAAGTACCACTTCCACGATCCCATTATGTCTTTTAAATTACTAGTTAATCAAATATCTTAAGTGTATGTAACACAAGCATGCTTAAGTTATACTAAGAAACTTAGAATAGATCGACTAATGCAGTCGTAAATTCATTTCCAATCATTTATAAGATGGAGATGGGAATTCAGCTTAAATATATTGATGGGTAAAATTCTTATGAGTCAATTTTTATAACATATCCACCAATATGGGCATGCATAAATATATGGACATATTTTGTGGCATTGGTTTGTAAAATTATTTGTTCCTTACACTCTATCGTATGCTTTAACTGTGCACCATAATCAATTGAAGACTTTTGATGTTGTCATTGGTGATGTAACCATACTGGAAAATCGATCAAAATATGTAGAATTTACGCAACCATATGCTGAGTCAAGCTTATCAATGATAGTAACACTGAAGCCCCAACATGGAAAGGCATGGATTTTTATGAAGCCTTTTACCAAGGAAATGTGGGCAGTGACTGGTGCCATCTTGATGTACACTGTGTTCATAGTTTGGCTTTTGGAGCGTCAATCAAATCCAGAGTTTGAAGGCCGGTGGCAGAATCAATTAGGCACAGCTCTTTGGTTCACTTCCTCCACACTCTTCGCTGCACAGAGTAAGTGTAATATTCTACACATATAGAGAATAACATTCTGATGAGCCTAATAGCATCTTGGTTATGAAAACCTATTGTGCCAATTCATACCAGTGGCCTGACCCAAAAAATTCTTTGAAGCTTGACTTTTGCACGATATCACTTGTAAGCAGACCAAAACTAATTACTCCTAAATTTGTCAACAAGAAGAGAGAGAGAGAGAGAGAAGAAAAAAGGAAAATAAATAAGAAATACTCATACAATACTTGTTCACATTACAGGGGATAGGGTTCATAACAGTTACACCCGTGTAGTGGTCTTGGTGTGGCTTTTCGTTGTGTTGGCATTATCTTCGAGCTACACTGCCAGTCTCTCTTCGATGCTCACCACCCAACGTCTTCAACCGAATGTAACCGACATAGATTGGCTGAAGAAGAGCAATGCAACAATTGGATGCGGCAGCTATTCGTTTATAAGTTTGTATTCGGAGAATGTGCTTAATTTTGATCCTAGGAACATCAAGGCAATTAGCAGCGAATATGACTACCCGGGGGAATTTGAGAGCGGCAACATCAGTGCAGCATTTGTTGAACACCCTTATGCAAAGGCCTTTTTGAAATACTACTGCGAGGGATACACGCTTGCCCAACCCATAGGAGGAGTTGAGCATAGATTTGGAGGCTGGGGCTTTGTGAGTAGTAACTGCCACTTTTCACACATTTTAATTTGTTTGTTTGATTGTTTGCCTGTTTGTTTTGGGGATCTAAGGATAGCAAGCAGTTTAAATGATAGAATTTATATTGAAAAAAGAAAAACACATGAACAGATCATTAGTTAGTATTAGCGTATCAAGTGGATCAATTTCACCATGTTAGTACACTATTATTATTAAATGACCTATTATTACACTTGCAAGTTTATTTATGAGGGATAAATTCTAGTTTTTCAGTGACTTGGACACTGTATTCATCATTCTCTAGGTTAGAACTACCAGAAATTGCTCAACCCTAACAATTCACAATCTTGGTGCAAAGGCCCCAAATGGGGTATGTTCACGACCCAGATACTAAAAAAAAAATTTCCCAAGTTATAACCCTAAACTCAAATTGATTCGCTTTGGAACTATTATTAGAAATAGAAGATTAAATATCTATGGACTATGTGATTATGGGTATATGATTGTATAATATTTCTAATAGTAAAAACTGTAAATCTCCAAATGTCTATACTATCAACAATCATCATATTAGTTTCATTCTACTTTTAACGTCTTTATTTACATCCTTTATCAAACTATAAGAATAATAAGTATAAAGGGCTAAATAATGAAAGAGAAAAATATGACATTTGCATTCTCATCAATGAGCTACCTTAGAGAAATTGAAGAAAGATTTTTCAAAATATACTAGTTCTACATCATGTTATCATGAATGATTCTAGGAGACGAAGGGTAATTTAGTTTTGGTTAATAAATGATGCTAGACATGGATCTTTATGAAATCCATCCTACCTATATTGGAGATGGGTACGAGATAAGATTTGTGACAAAAGATACTCAAATTCGAGTTAGACAAGTATAGAAGAATCAAGCAATCCGGCAGACTACCTTTTACTAATTTGATCATAACTCTTGGTTGGAAAATCCAAATTGTGCACCGTTATTTTTGTTAGAATCTTAACTCGTATATCTTTTCAACCATATAGGTCACATATACTAGAAATACCGGAGTCAAATTAGTTTATTCTCCGAAGTTGACCAAAAATTCTGCACTATAGTATTCCTTGGATAGTAAAGTGTTGTACTTTCTTCTTAAACCTTGAAGGTGTAAACCCTCATATGTTTATATTAATATAGTAATGTATTTATTTAGTGATTCTTAAATATATGTAATGACTTAAAAATAAATCATATATATATTGAAACCGTAAGAATAGCACATATAGCGGTTCGGATGAATAAAATAGAAATTTTAATGTTTCGAGTGTGAATTTATTTTAGTTTTGAAATAAATCATAAAAATAAATATTTTTAGGTTAAAATAACATTAAAAATGAATCCGAAACGTCGAAAAACCTTAAGATAGTCATATGGATCAAATTGGAGATTTTAATGACAAAATCGTAATTTTGGGAGAAGACCCAAACAGTTCATGAACAGTGAAATTCGGGGCTGCTATATCTAAAACCTCATATTCAGCCCATTTTCTCTCATTTCTTTCACTCCCCTTTCATTCCACACCTCTTAGAGCCTTAAAGGAAGATTAAGAGAGAAAGAAAAGAGAAGAGCAAGGTCTCTAGAGCTTGGGCTTTGCTTGGAGATCTTGATTCAAGGTGAGAATTTTTCTCTTATTTCTCATACATTGAGGCTAGGGTTGTATATATATATATGTATGTCTTTCACTTGTCTTCACATATATATATGTTATGTACTACATGATTCTTGACATTTTTGCAATAAATAGCATACCGAACATTTTAATTGTTGGATAACTATTGAACCATTCTTTTTCATAATCAAACCTGAGTTTTGAAGAAAAATGGATATTTCCTCTTAAATTCCTTTTTGTCTTGATTACCAAACTTTAGTGTTTTACCTTGTATAAACAAATGAGGTTTATAATGATCTCTTGTTCATTTTTCTTAAATTATGCTATGATGGATTACTTAAGAAATGGTGGAATTTGGTAATTTCTTTGAGATGGTTGCGAATGGAGATATTCTTGGTTTCCTCTTGTGTATGGTTGTTTGTGATGGACTTGAATTACTTACGAGATATACCGTAGAGTGTAAATGTCAGTCGAACCCCGTGGTGGGGGGAGATGGTTTCTTACACTTGTAGTGGATTGGTGTTTGGCAACACAACCGCTATCGTACGCTTAGAGTTCGAACTAGGAATGGTATACCTTTCTTGGGGAGGGATTCGGCAATGTCATTGGTATGGTATACGCCCCTTTCCAAATGTGCTTATGATTATTATGGGTGGACTAGGTATAATCGTTGGATAAATTCAGAAGAAACTATCAACCTACATGGCCTTGGGGATGCACTAGAATACACGGGATTGTTATAGTGTTGGGAATTGTTCTTTGCACTAAAAATGGTTTCTACAAAATTTTAGAGAAGTATGAGATTCCGCAAGAACGTGTGAGAAATCATTTATAGTGGAATGGTTATTTAATTGTATATTATGTTCATTTATTCTTTAATTACTGTTATTCCTTAAATTTAAGATCTATTTAAAATATCATGTTTTCTTTCGAAAGTTATATATGATATTTTGTGAAAAAAAAAAAATAGACTGGCCGAATTTTAAATGTTTTCTAAACCTTGTTTAAGTTTGGGAGAAATTTTTTACAGAACTTTGTGTTCACCCTCTACTGCTAATATTTTTCAGATTGTATACTTGAGGAGGAGTTAGGAGCCGAGGAGGCCGCCCAGTGGGAGGCTCCAATTGACGGGAGTGTGGATCCCGAGGTGGACGCATAGAGCGACCCCTTTTCTCTTGTACTAGACTAGAATACTCTTTTGTACACTGTAAAGTCTAGTTTATTTTGTTAATCTTGTTACATTATATTAGTTAACTTTTGAGATGTAAATGTCATGGTTTGGCATATTCTTTTGGATAATGTTAAAAATATTTTATGAATAAATGGACCCGGTGTGATCAAAGTAGTATAATTGTACAGGTTATGTTTTGAGTAGAGCTCCCCGAACAAATGAGACTCTGCCCAAATTTTGTTAAATTAAGAACCCCTAATTATTTATGGATTTATTAATTGTTCTCATGATATGAATGGTTATAAGTAGTAATACCTTCCAGGGTGAATTTTGGGGTGTTACAAAAACATGATCTAAATAATAATAGACTAGGTGCGTATGGTGGATATATAATCATATATAATATTGTATAGTAATGAAATTGATTATTCTAAAAGTTCCATAATGAATTGCAACTCAAAACAGTTTACTAGCTGAGATAACTCTAATTGCACCGTGCGCCCAAAAAATTATTGTACCACGTACCCATCCATATCCCGTATCAAATTGAGCCACGATCCATGTATCATTACTCTGGGTTCTGTGTTCAACCTACTCATGTTGCATGCAATTGTTTTTCCTTATTCTGTCAGTGGTGAACTTATTGGACTTTTATTCTCTGGAATAGATTTGAATTTGATGATGTTATTTTCCTAATGCTCTCCATGCAGGTATTTCAAAAAGGCTCTCCAATTGCTGAAGATTTCTCCCAAGCTATTCTAACCTTATCGGAGAATGGTAGGTTAGAACAATTGAAAACTACGTGGTTTATTCCTTCTCCCAAGTGTTTCAACTCTCAAACTCCTGACAAGGGTGATAGCTTGAGCTGGTAAAGTTTTTGGGGTCTCTACCTATTATCTGCTCTCACTTCCACCATTTGTTATCTGCTATTTGCAATTCATCAGTCATATGAACACCACCGCGAGGCATATGAAAGGCTTTTAACTTGGGATTATAAGAGTATGTTGAACAAGTTGGCTGGGTTAGTACAATATTTTCATATCAAATCAGAGATAAAACTTCCAGGTACTACTCCAAACACTGTTCAAACATTGGAGGTTTCTGAATGCAACTCTTCTAGCAGGGAATACACAAGTTCTTTAGAGACTCCAGTGCAATTTCACGAATTGTCTTCACTCGAAGTAGAAGTTACCAATCTTAATGAACATCATCCCCATATTCAAGGATAAAATTGTGCACATCTGACTGTTTTTAGACTTTTGAGAGATAGGGCCTTGTACATTAATCCGCTTTTTTAACGAAGAAGGGATTAAAATCTTGGTCTTTAATGCAACTACTTATAATACATAGGCTATATATCATCTTTCATTTTCTTTTTAATATTTTTGTTTGTGGATTATGTATCTATAAAAAGTGACACTCTTAATTGATCTAAAACTTATAAGTACCATTACGCAAATATAAAATGAGTTTCAAGTTCTTGATGTTTTTCATCTCCATTACCTTCATGAAATGATACATCATGCAAAAAACAATAATAAATAAAATAAAAGTACATATAAAGCATTAGAAAATCTTGATTCTGCTAATGTAAAGTTTCGGGAGAGATGTTTAACACCACTTGAAACCTTTATCACATGAATAACAATGTTCGCTGCATTTGTATTAACTATATTTATTTAAATTCAAAAATATACCTCGATCACTTTTACAAAATAATAATTAAACATGCTTTTTGCTTTTCTTTTATTTATTTTTTTTGAGAAAATTACTTTTTTTGCTTAAAAAAGTTTTACAAACAGATTTTCTGGATTACATTTACAGAAAGCACATACACCGAGAAGTCTAAACAAAACACCATCACCACAATAAGTTAGAAATGGTTTGCCTTTGGTCCAATAGTAAGGGTTCAAATCCCACTCCCCCCCCCCCCCCCAAAAAAAAAAAAAAAAAAAAAAGAAATGCTTTCTATGACTATAAAACGAGTTTCCACAATACAATCCATTAATAAAACAAGTAAAAATCAAATGGAAAACAACCAAGAGAATGTACTCGTGCAGCACATTCAAAGATACACAAGAGTCGATGGAAGAGTCTCACACAGCCCTTGTTTACGACGACTCTATTTTTAGGGGATAAAGGAAGTGTCTCGAGAGGATTAGCAGTTGTTTCCATTGGCTTAATCAGATGGGACTGGGTATGCAAAGCCTTAAATGCTTCAAGCGAATTGAACAAGACAAGCTCCGGAAGATTTCTGATCGACAGTAGTGAGTCAACAATCTACAAGTCATCTTCATTCTCTCTAAAAATTTGTTCAAGCAGAGGTGGTTATTAGTACATTCATCGTGTTTGTATCTTCTGGTCCATAACTGTTCCAAACTCTCAGTTATTTTGTTGCATTATGGATGAATGAAAGCTATTGATAGCCCCTTCCTCTACCACGTCCACCCCACCCCCTACCTCTGCCTCTGCCTTTGCCTCGTCCTCTTCCTCTTCCTCTTGCACTACTACTCCCTTCATAAGATAAACCTTCAAATGCCCTGTTAACAAGCTGGTTTTGCATACCACCACCTCCACGACCCCTTTTTGATGCATTATTGGCAGAACCATTAGCAGGACGTTTCCCTCTGCAGAAGAAAAACAAGTTATACAAAAGAGAAAAATGTTCAATATGAAGTTAAAATTGAGCTGTCTCTCATAAGACTCCATTTAATCAGCACAAAAGTCTTGCAGGAAGTGAAAATATACATGCAAAAGAATATCCAACACTTTCCTTAACTTCCTATACATAATATATATAAATAAGATCATAACTCGTATCCAACCAAGACAAAAGAGAAAAAACCTATATTTCCAACAATTTCAGAGTCAATATATCTCGCAAGTAGGCAAAATAAAAAATATCAGTTTTCTCTGCATAGTCTTATATTCAAGTAAATGTCAGGTCAAATAGGTAACACACTTCTTGTAACCTTTTACTCCGTTAATCAAAGTTCTGTTTCCTATAAAAAAAGCCAATTCAGCTGTTTATGTGACTAGTTTAACATTTCACTTACTTTTCTTCAATGTGGCTTTTACAGTGTAATCAATAATACCATGATAAAAACTCTAACAAATATGAATTAACAGGTAAAAAATAATTAATTGTACACCAAGGAATCTAGCAGGTTCCCGCCACCAATATAACTATACAAATTCAGGATTAGAAAACACAAATGTTAGTTTCTTAATAAACTAACAGGAAAAGGACTATTTTCATGTAGCAAAATGGCAAGCACCATGTTGCCACCATGTGATCAATGACAATCTTAAATTGCAACAATGAGGTGGGATCAGGTTACAAATACAATTCCTCATACCCAGTTGTTGTGGCAGTTGAAGGTGCAGAAGGTTTTGCTGCTTCTTTCCAAGATAGATTGATTCTCTTATCCCCAATAAAAGAAGGAGATTTCAAATGTAGCGGCTGAGTCAAATAATAGCAAAAAAGTTCAGTTGACAGAAATTAGCATGCATCCAAAGTTCACACAGAATTTTATGTCCCTCCACCTGTGTCATTGCCAAAATGTTATTGCAGGTTCGCAACCCAGTTGTAGTATTCTGCTTTTGCGTCTTCTGCAGATTATGCAGAGATTATGTTCGTAAGACACATACTAAGAAAATAGCTTGACAAAAAATATTGCAAGCTCTCTTAGACTAAACTCACAATGCTAGCCTTTGCCTCATCAGATTTAGTAGTAGCCGTTGCTTTGTTGTGCTCAGCCATTCCCTGAGTTAATTTCTTAATGGTAGCTCTAGCTAGCTCTTCAACACAACTCAACCTGTTCCATTAGCCATAAGGTATGTCAACTATATATTAGCTATGCTGGAAAAAGATAGTGCAACAGAGTAGAAGTGAAAACACTATCGTATATGGTGTCATTATAAAGGAAGAGAGCAGCAGCAGCAGCCTCCTTATGAAATGATAGGACTGATTAAAGATTGCTATATAAGATACAGAGACCACATTTGGTATGAAAGTTCTTTTCTAAAGCCATCTGATTTCTATCTATTTCACTAACACTTAAAACATGGGAGGGAAAAATTCTGTAAAACAACTTAGGCAAATATAAAAAGCATTAAAATAACTTTGAACGTCACCATTTACGAGCTTTCAACCATGCAGAATCACAAGACCATAGCATAAAATGATCCAACAGAATTGGTCTTATCATACAGATAGTAGTTAATGTCTACTAGTTGGCTTCACTCACTAAATTTAAGATTAAGTCTTCAACAAGGATTGGACAGCGGAAGAGGTGGGAAGTATCGAGAGGAAAAATAAATACAGAACTAGAACCACAATGACAGGTGATAGAATCTTCGACTATCAAAACCAGAGGTGATCGGCAAGGCAGCAGACAACACTGACAGGCAAGGTTGCACTTGGAAATAAAACAAAACCTTAGACCTTCTCTGGTTCATGCTTCCCCTCCACCATTGAAATCATGCAGCCCATGTACACAGAGAGGCTTAGTTTCCAAGGGGGAAAGTTCTTGTATTGCAGTAAACAGTGGCACGAAACCCTAAAACTAATGGTTGTTGGTAGAGTGAGAGGAACAGCGCGGTATATGTGAATACACTGCAAGGATAATCTAAAAACAATCACCTGCAGATGGGTAGAAAGTACTTCGATGAACCAGTTCAAACTTTGACATGTTACAAATACATAACATATATGCACATAATTTTTTAAGGGATGCCGTTGGAACTGCTTCTATGACATACATCACCACAGTTCTTTGCCAGAAGACATATTTTTAAGCTAATAAATTGTGATGTGCAAAGTAAAAAGTCTCAACAATATCAAACAATTTCCACCAAGAGTTTTAGGGTTTTGCAATTCCAGATAACCATCAAAACTGGTCTTTCTAACCCACCAGTAGGTTCCCAATTAGTCTATGGTGAACTAGGAATCACCAAATGAACTATAAGGATCAACCTATAGGGATGATATACCTTATCCTGCCACAAGATTATTTGGAGTTCTGTCCAATCAGGAATTTCATGTCATCTGGTCACCAATCATACAGAACACAGAGTATCTTTCTTAGCCAAAAGCACATTTCAGGTAAAAATGTTCAAATAAAAATTTTTACTTAGTCTGTGTTTCAATGTGCCCTTCATAAGATGATTCCAAAACAACTTACGCATTCATGGGATTTAATGAGCATTCTATCCTTTTTATTTTCCCTTTGCTACAGCTGTTTGTTTTCTATGCTTCAGTAACTCGGGATGGTGTTCTCAACAGTCCAGTTAATATGCCTTTACATCCATTTTCCAACAAATGGATCAAACACTGCCCACAGAACATATGGATGAGGCTATCAAACAATCCGAGCAGCTTTAGCTCTATCTCGCGCTCGGCTCATATTCAGCTTGTTTAAATTGCAAAATAAACTGAATGTAATTAGATTTCCAAGCTTGTTTAGGAAAACAACTGAATCCAAGTAAGGTCACTCAGGTTAAATAAATTCCTATCTACAAATAAGTCAATTTCTTTTTTGCCAAACAACCAATACTCAAAAGATGAACAACCTCAAACTTATTGTCAAATAGGATCATGCACACATCTCTCTTTTTTCTAAGAGATTATTGGAAATTTAACTTTCAAAGGTTTGATTTTATGATTGATTACATAGATTTTAGAAGATTTTTGCTGAGACATTGATTATTTTATGATCTCATTATTAACTAGTATGGTTTAGTTATTGAAAATTTTTGCTAAGAAAATAAGCTTGATTTTGGGCTTGAGTTCGGCTTGAATGCTTACAAGCTTCAGCTGAGTAAAGCTTGATCAAGAATCTAAACTCGACAATGAAACTCAACTCAAGCTCGACTTTTCACAACCGAGCTGGGCTTGATCATACTCAAGCTTGACAAGCTTAGCTCGACTAATACTCATATGCATTCACGCATTTGTTTATCTCATTGTTTATCAGGAGACAGGACTAATATGTGAATCATTGAGTATTCTTATTACTTCTTGTTTTGCTTGTCCATAAACAGCCAACACTTCACTACACGCACAGGAGTGCAATGAGCAACATAAATTTAATTGTGAAAACATTTAAAAAAAAAAAAAAAAAAAGAGGAGAGAATATTTCAGTAGTAGAAAGAACATACTACCTTTCTGTGAACTCTTTGTAATTTTCTGAGAAGTCCTCCCCAAGCCTATCTGATGGTTGGCCAGTCACTATCTTGTAACCACATACGCTATTAGTGGCATTTGGAGTCTGTATAACGACAAAGAGAGGATAAGAACTGAACACTGAAGGCACTTAAGAGACATGCAGAAAAGGTAGGATTGTAGAACATTTGTAACCTTGTGAGCTAAATGGTGAAATGTGTACAACAAGCACTCAACATAAGTGAAGTTCATCTCTTCTCCAGCTTTCCTTAGAGGCATGTATTTCTGAGAACAAAGAAGTTCCATTTCATGAGCCAAAGAGTCAACTTAATTATTAGAACTTGTCAAAAAAAAAAAATCACATGTATCAAAAGCTGTGGCTTCTTTTTATGACATAAATTCAATGCATTAGTCTCCATCACTTTAAGACAAGGAACATAATTGGGTATAGTATAACGTGCATACACGAGTTCCCATGGTAAACATCAAATAAGATAAATGCAGTAATAATAAGAGAAAGAGAGGTACGAAAAGGAAAAGTGTACTGCGGTTATGCTTTTTCTATGAATGGACATTTACATTGTTCTTATGTATGTTGCGTATGCTTTAGAAGCTGAACATACAGATAAACAAGCATATTGCTATTTAGACAAATCTGTACCTTTAAGAGCTGAACAACAGTGGGAAGAATCTGTCTTGAATCCTGCGGAGCTATGTAAGGTGAACTTTCTGCAAGATTTTTCAGCAGGTCTACCTTGCGTTCTTCAGGCAGCTGACAAGCAAAAGTATGGTTAGAACAAATTCTAAAATTAATATTAGACCAAACTGACTCAGAAATTCATCTTTGAAGCATAATTACAGCTAGCTCGCGCCAGGAGGAATTATGTACCTAATTCAGTCCTTATCTGAACAGAAATATTCTCTTGCATATGCTAGTAATTTTCAGCCACTAAAAAATGAGCAAAAAGTAAACATCTTCCCATGAAAGGTTTATTGTGTTTACAAGAGTAAGTCCTCAATGCTAGGGGACATAGAGGTGAGGTATTCATTCTTCATTTTCCAAGGTATTTGAACATATTCCATTGTTATGTATTCTTAGTGGATGGGAGAGCTGTGTGGGCTTTACAGTTGGGATTATATGTCTGTCATGTTGTTTTTTTTCTCTTAGACAGGCATGCAGGTTGCATTTCTTGTCTGTCATTGCGCTTCCTTCCATAATACTTTCTACATCTATGAAACTTTGTTACTAACAAAAGAAAAAATAAAGCATAATTGACACTAGACGCTTTTTCCTCCATTAGTCTCTTGTCAATCAACAGGGAATCATCTCAATATGCTACCTATATTAAGCTAATAGCAATTGGTTTCATCACCAAGGTCCAGAAGATTGTTTAAAATAAACGGTTTAAGTTCCTCCGGAGCAACACATCCAAGTGGTTGCTCCATCCACACCTCCCTTGTAGGAAATCCAACTGCAAGGAATTGACAAAACAAATTAAACAGCCACAGGAGAATAATTCACCCTAGTCTACCCCTTTTGAGCAAGTATATCCTTCTGAAATTAACCACGATTCCAATCACTTTACAGTGCCACCACACTGATACCATAAACTCAATGGCACAAATTTGATAAAAGGATAAGACCAGCCTAGCTTTCAAGTGCTCAGTAGTGACATTAAGATGATAGCATATATGCCATATACCCATTTGCTGCATACATCCAACAACAGAGAAGGATTAAGGTTGGGAAGAATTTACACTCACAAAACTCCTTATGCTGCTTTTCACAGATCCTGGTACAGTTATTAGTTAGTAGATGATATTATAGGACGGTTCCCTATAAATTTTCTGTATCTTGTTAGCACTCATCAGCCATTTATATTTGAACACTCCTAAAAGCCGTATCTGGCACTTCTTTCATGTATTAATAAGTTGAATATATTTTCGTAATTTTATATACTCAACCGACATTTGAAATGCAATCCAACAAAGCATACACACTACTTGATAGGAGTCATGACTGAATGAACACACACCCAAAGTGTTATGGCACATGGTTGCTACAAGTCAAGCATGTGATGGACACTTTCTAATCATAGACAGAATACAGCTACAGAAAAGAATGACTAATAAAAATAGTCGTATATAGAATACGAATTATATATGTGACATTTTAATGCGCGGTGGTTCCATTAATAGAGTTTTATAGTATTTTTGTAAAATTAGCTTGGTTTACTTTCAGTTTTTTGAGCGTACAATAATGAATTTGAAGGACTCATATGTACTATAATGTTTTAGGGGATCATTCTGGTAAGCTGTCTGTATTTTTGTTTTCGAGATGTTATAAAGGTTTGTCAAAGCTGACAAACAAAAAACAAGCCTCCAAGATCTGAATTTTCTAGGTTTTTGGACAGAGCTTGGCTCTTTCTATGTTCTTCTCTGTCCTTTCTCTCCCCCATTCTTCCTTCACCCTTATTCTTATCATCTTTCTCTAATTCTTCTTAATTCTTGTTCACTATTCTCTCCTTGGTCTATTATTAACTCTCTCATCTCTGTTTCACATCTATCCTTCGACTTGTTTCTCCCTTTTCTTCTCCTTGTATTCTAAGATTTTCCCCCAACCCTTAATTCTTTCAAGTGTTTCTGCACCTAATCCTCTTCTCTTCCTCTTATCTTTTCCATCATCTATTCCAATCTTATTCTATCAAGGACAAAATAAAATAGCAGTACAATCTCTAAAAGTTCAGCCCCCGTAAGTGTTTGATGGAAGTCTCCATATAACAACAATTTAGTATGCCCAAAAATCGATTTAAAAAAGGCTGTCCAACAGGTGTATGATGAAAATCTGTGGATCTCAAATCAGCCTGGCAATTCTAAACAAAACCTATGACTCAGCATGACATCGACAAAGTGTTAGCGGAATTGGGTTTAGCCTTGGCAGGTTTGAGTCAAGGCTCAAAAATTCATTTTGAAACGGTCAAAACAACCAAAATATTTCCAAAACGAATAAGTGATTGAATTAAAATTCCAATTTTTGAGATGTTTCAGAATATTTCGATGTGTTTCAAGATGTTTTGACATGTTTTCACAAATATTTCGGAATATTTCAAAGTGTTCTAAGATGTTTCAGCATATTTTGACCAATGATTCGACATGTTTTGAAAATAAATTTTCACATTGTTTATCCATTTTCATTGTATTTCAAAACATTTTTGAAATGTTTATGTATTGCCACGTGACTAAAACAATGCACTAAAACGAAATGTTTATCATTAGAATGTGCGGTAAACGACTAGACTTATTAGACCTTCAAGTAAATGGATTGACACGAACCCAACCCGACACAATACGAATTCGACTATGCACGATTACCTATGGGTCGAATTTAAATTGTATAAATTTTGACACGATATGATTTAAACATGACATGAACCCCACACGACCATTGACATCCCTATAATTTCAGCCCTTTTCATATGCAATCAGAAAATATATCAATGAGTTGATGAAATCAGCAAAGAAAGTGTTTATTTGTTATGGATCCGATTATTTGTATGTTACGTGTTGAATCTAATGGCCAAGAGCTAGGATACATCACATTTGCTGAGTTTTATCCACCACATATTGCAATTGTTGCTGAAGAAACTCACAATATGTATTCATCTTATATACTTCATATTTGCTTGTGTGTGTGTGGATGTTCATATCCTACTTGTTTTAGAATTTGCCATGTTTGATATTGTGCATTTATTCCATATCCATATTGCTGATAATGATGAAGTTGTATGAAGGGCCGTAGCATGCATAATTATTAGTATCATACGATATGCGATACATATCGTACGATACGTTACAATACACCTGAAAAACGATACACATCGTATCTCTGTATCATTTTTACACTATATCGTACGATATACAATACGTCCGATACATGAAGATTTTATTTTTTTTATTTTTTATTTTTGGTTTTTTGGGGCTGAAATTATATCGTTTCACCCCAGAACTTATTTTTAAATCATTAATCAGTAAAACAACGTCGTTTCAGTGATTATGGTTTAAAAAATAAAAAAATAAAGTCTGTTGTTAATTTTGGTCAATTGAATTCAAATTTTTTGATTAATATTAAGATTGTTCAAACAGTTGATGTTAGAAGTTTAAATTAGATATGGTAGCATGCAAAAACGAGCACCAGATGCAAGAGCACAGAAAAAAGGGCAAAACTTAAAACTTACTAGCATACATGAGGTATGATGTTACCTTATCAAAAACAGGAAAAATATTCTTGTTCAAATAGTTGAGGAACTTGCTATTTGATGCACCTTGCTGAATTCAAAAACGAATTAGTAGAACAGAAAAATATACAATTGATCAGAAAAGGAGAAATGCATTTTAAGAATGTACCATAAAAATTGGAAGTGCCATGTAAAGGCATGATATCAATCTATCAATGTGATCTCCGTCTGAAACCTGCACTTTGTAAGCCAGTACGGTGATGAATGCAGTGTAGGAACCTCAGATCACAATGCAGTACTAATCCAGGAGAATACACCAGAAATCAGTAATTTAAAGAAGAGGAAGGACACATGGTCTTAAGGACATAAGAGAATTTAATGATATATAATGGCAACATTAGAACCATGAGCAGCAAACCGAATCAACAGTCCACATAAATACTATCCAACTGTAAAGGGAGCAAGGGAGACTGATAACTAAAACTGGGAATTTGGCCTGAAATTATGAAAAGTAATACGGGAGTTGCGCTCCCCCCCCCCCCCCCCAACACACACACACCCCAAAACCCACAATAAAAAAATAAAAAAACAAGCTGCCCAATCCCCATATCCCATGGGAGAAACTGACCAGCTTGTTCCTACCTCTTGCAGTGGGAATGATGAGTGGGACCTGGGTAGACATTCCTACCAATACCCCATCACTTAAAAAAGCAATCCCCATGCACAGAAACATTTGCATCAACTCAGCAAATGGAGATTCCAGCAACTAGAGAGTTTACAATGTGGCTACCGGGGACACTACAACCACATTAAAATTGCAGAATGAAAATGGATTCAGAAAGCAAGAAGCATTTACAGTTTATAACTCGTCTAGTGTTGAGGTCTCAAGAAAGATCAACTTTCTTTCGTATTTGCCGGGCCAAATATATGCAAGATAGACTTGTCACAGATGATGTATCATCAATGAAATCCTTTTACCACTTGCATAATGGGATTTAAAACCAAGTCGTAGAATATCCAATGATTTTTTTGATACAACATCCTACCCGAGAGTGAATGCAGTCGAGACAAAGAATCCATTCTTTAACTTAATCTCCAAATTCCATGATGTAGAACTGTCAACGAAGAGCAATTTTGGAATCCCGAATGTACGAAGCTTAAGCATTAGTCATGAAGTTTAGAGTCATATTTCATGCTGTATTCTTATTCAGTTTATGTTACTAAGTTGCAGAATTGTTGTTCTCTATTTTTTACTTCATATTTTAGAGTCAAGAAAATTTTTGTCTTTCAACAATTGACAGATAATGATTGAGTCTATAGGAGGGGCTGAATTATATTACTGCACTTTTATTGGAGTCCTAAGTGTGATTAATGTCCTAATAAGAATGTCATAGTTCTCACAGTATTAGTGGAGTTCAACAGCCTATAAGCATTAATGCACTTTTAAGGGAAGACGAATTGAGTTTTGAAATTTGTGTAAAGCTTCTGAAACATCTATTTGATGTTTTATGCAGCCTTATCTCAGAGGATGATTCCTAGTAAATTCTACATGTCATTTCTAGATTCTCAGATGGCCAGCCTTAAACCGACAATAAGGATACTTCATTACGACTTGGGCTTCACGGAGTCGAATCATGGATAATGTCTCTGTGCACAAGGGGGTAAAGAATGTGTACTTTTGACACTCCCGAGACTCCCACAGTGGTCGGACCTGGCGATTTTGCACTGGACAGTCCTTTGCTTGTTCCTGGTTCTTCTCTTCTACTTCTTTTTTCTCTTTTTTTACACCATCAGTTCCCAAACAACCCTAACCTTTTCCCTATCCTTTTGCCATTTATTTCACATCAAAACCTTGAATAACACGTCGCTCAGTGGATTTCCTACCCCTTTTCCTCGAAATTCTACAACCAAAAACCTTGAAAATCAAGCCAATTTAACTTTTTCCATCCCACCCATAACATAGGCGCTATCCAAGGCCAAAGCTCACCACAAAATCAGTTGTTGGCGGCATAACCCTGATTTTCCCTAAGTGCTCCATCATGATTACATAAAATCTCAACTCAAGGCCAACTTAACTGGACTTGCCTGTCTCAATACATACTGGCAGACCCAGGGTTATTATGGGTGAGCACTAGGCGGGACAACTAGTTCAATGGCATAATATGAAAGATTTACAAAAGGGGAAAAAGTATAATATGCAACCTGCTTCCATAAATTTTCAAGGGGTCATCCATTCACCCTCTTTTTCCAAATTAAAAAGGATAAGTATACAAGTAAATAAAATTTAAGAAAAAGCCCCTTGTTTATTTTGGACAGTCCTTATGCTATGTACTATCGAAAAACAGTTAATGTAGTTTTTCTTTACTTTGTGCGCGCGTGCCCCCGGCGGCCGGGAGAGAGAGGGAGTGATCATTTGCCTGATCACCATGAAATAAATACTTACATCGAACTGTGCATCTAAATCAGCTTGACCTTCAATGATTTCAATAAGTTCTTGCACACGCTCTGGTGGAGCTTTCTCTCCAAATATCTTCAGACTTTTTAAGAAATCCATAAACATTTTAAATTCAGCCCCCGTCACATCTTGCAAACTCTGCAATAGCACTTAGTCAAACTTGAGTTCTCAGATAGAGCAACAATATCAAATGGAAAACTGATACTCTAGAAGCACTTCCATACTGGCAAAGAACAAACCAAATGTTATAGAAGTGATGCAGAATACAAGGTTAAGAAAGAAATATATAGATGGAACCAACATCAAAAACCAAAAAAGAAAAGAAAAGAAAAGAAAAAGAGGACAAGAAGAAGAAAAGGAAAAAAGCATACATACTTTTTTGACCAAATCAGTTATATGCCTTTCCATTTGCTCCTGAGGCTTCAAGAGCTCAGCTTTGAGAGGAAATACCTGCCGATAGGGTAACTTAGAACTCATTCAAAAGTTAGGAAAACATAGTAATAATTGACATGGCATCACACAGACACACAGGCTGGTCCTCCTACCTTATCTCTGATGAAGATCAGAGTCCTCTCACGAAGGTTTTCATCCGTGATCGGCTCATCAACACTCTCAATGTGCTTAAATAGGGCTGTCAATGAAGCTGCATAACCAAAGCCATCAATTAATCTTACTTCAAATAGAAAGTTACACAGCCAAAGTTAGTACCAAAATCAGTCCATCAAAAAACCAGAGAATATGCAAGACATGCCTAAACTTTCCTGACAAGTCTCATGCAATACAGTTTGTATGCATCATTTTTGAAGTATGTGGAAGTGATATATTCACAAAATCTCGGTGCATCAAGCTTAGCCCTGGGTATCACTACATTCTGTCTGGCCATAACAATGTAAAGCCAAAATGTCAGTGTTCTATCACTTCTTACCAGACCACAACATGAAAGATTCCCAACTACTTCTGACCCCCAAAAGGAGCAGTAAACTTTGAAGGAGAATTGAGCCCAAAATACTACTAGTTATCAAGTTCTGTTGTGATGTACAACAGTCATTCCCATCTTACATAACAAAATAAGCAAAAGCATAATGGAAACCAAAAATCACAAAAGCTGTGAATCATATCTCATACTTGTACGTATACAATGCAGTCTAATAATGTTCCAAGAGCTTTCACAAATTCTTCGCAGATTGGCAAACTAAAAAAATTTGTTTACTTTCAATTGAACTGCAAATCATTTCAGCAGAAGCCATGGAAAACAAGTTTTGAACCCCAACTAGCTCAGCTTAAGGCTAGTCAGGTTGAATTGATATGGATTGACAGCCCTGAACACACAGACGACAACATTTGCCCAATAATTTTTCACTGGACACACACACCAGTTCCAGGAGAACTAAATCCCGGTCAGCACCTCCCATTGGGTTTTTATTAATGTATGAGGCAATTGTTCATTATTAAACCCTCTGAAAAGTAAAACATTCATTCTTATACCATGACTATTTTACATCTCTAAGCCACATGTCCAGGAAAAGTTGAGTAATGGGTAGATTCGAAGTGAAACTTTCAAGTTTCAATTAATGATCCAGGCATTAAGGACTAATTAATCAGAACCATAACCAAAAAAATTAATCAGAAAATAAAAAAAAAGGTGTCTTCCCTATAAAACAATTTTGAATTAGCTTGGAATCTTAGGATATATAATGATTAATAATAAAGGACTATTATTAAGCAACAAAAGCTACATTGGGTGGCAATACCAAAAAAACAAAGACAAAATAGCATATGGCAGACTGAAGTTATGATTCTAGACCAAGCAAAATGGCTAAAGATTTCTAATTTGATAAACTATGTTGGGGTTCAACTCCTTCCACCATCTCATCAGTAACAACCCCAGCTCTCTCAGGTACTATATGTACTAGGATCTTAACTAACCAAAGAATATATAGAAATTCTCCACCGCCAAAGAAAGTCATAGATCTCCCTAATAATTTACGAATATTACCATAGACTTGATAGTGTCCTAGAAGTTTCATACACCGTGGTGGCCACTTCACCGACAAGATCCATATATCTATTAATCACCTCCTTAATGCCACATATTAAGTCAGGTGTACCGCAAGACGTGTTCAAAATTCTACTGGTCTCCTTGCATTTGCATGCAAACTTGCATGCCGATCAAATGCTGATTACCATGACAGCTTTTAGATTCATTAGCAATTTCTATGATATTTTAATTGCTATAACTTCATTACCCACCAAGTTTCAAAGAGCTGACAGAATTTAAAGAAATATTTTTTACTCAGCAGAGAACATGTTACACACAATAGAATAGCAATAAACAAGCAAGTCACTACAGTATTCATGTAATCAAGCTTCTCAGAAAACAATGAAGTTGCTTTTCTGCAAAAGCCCAGTTATGGACAGGATATGGGACTTCAGTAACTGAAAGAAATAGACATGATATGGACTTCAATAACTGAAAGAAATCTATTAGTCACCAGTTCATTTAACCCAAGACCTCTTAGATACTGCAAAAATGGATTCAACTTTAATCTATCACGACACCAACAGATTCATGCTTCAAGATAGTTTCAACTAATTTGACCATAAATGCCATTACCTTCCACATCCTGCCTTAGTAAGGACAAAAGGGCTTTATGCACTGCATCACGCTCCACATTTTCTTCTGAAAGCATCAAGAATCCCAAGATCAACTTTGTATCACAATATCCATACATGTCCTTCACCAGTGGAATTTAAATTTAAACACTTATTTACCAGCTGTAAGGAGTTGTGCAAGAATGTCTACAATTTTTGAAAGATGCTCAGGTGTATCCTTGCAAAATAGAGGAAGTCCACGGATCGCTTGCACCCGAATCTGAAATTTGTAGATAAAAAAAGAAAAGTTCAACAGCAAATTGATACATATGTTTTACAAGATTTCTCATCTGTTAAACAGATCTGCTAGAATCATGGAGCCTTGAAACCCCTAAAGCAACACAACATACAGCAGATCATACAGTATACCCATAATCTAAAGGCTTATACATGCAAATTAGTCAGAACTAGTGAATAACCAATAAAATAACCCGCATGATCTGTAATTGCTCAATGGAGACTAGTCAATGCAATGACAACAATAACCCTCATAACATTCTTGATATTTCACTATTGCAGGCTGCTAGAAAATTGGACTAAGTTGTGACTGGTTTTATGATCATTCTTAAGTCTCAATGAGCTGGTGCTCCGACATCATTCTCATCGTCTAATTGTTTAGGACCTCTACATTTTGTACATTGAGTATCCCCTTCTTTAGTTGTGTACCAAATTCTTACTACAATATGGATATGCATAGATGTAACCCTCAACTTGTATGCCCCCCTTACTTAGAAAGGTTTTGAAATATTGGTAAAAACATGCTGAAACACATCCAAACATTCTGAAACATTGGAATATCAATTCAATATTTGTTTCGGTCTCCATACAAATGAAAACCTTTTGAAAGTTTTGATCCTTGCATGTGGATAGCAATTTTTCAAGACAATAAGGATAAGCGTGGGCGCGCGGGCGTGTGAATAAATTAGAGTGGAAAATTTGAGAAACACATGTACAGAGACTAACCCCAAGCTCTTCAGCTTCGCACAAATCGAGATGAGCATCGACTGCATTCACAGAAAGACCTGGAAAAAACTTGAAGAATCTGGGAATGAGCTGCGCAGCTAATTGCCTAGCTTTAATGCTCGTGCTTGTCGACGCCTTAATTATATTCTCATAATCCTCAACATGCTGTAACCAAAGAAAATGAATTCAAATTATCAAAAAAACACATTAACACGCACACAATTACACACCTTAAAGAAGAAAAATAAGAAGACATCTGAAACTAATTTGAATAAGATCATCAAAAACCCTAGAATTGTGAAAACCTGGCCCTTGTCTTTGGCTTCGTTGAGCTTTTCGCCGTACTCGTAGAGCTTCTCGATGTCTTTGGCTTCGTCTGCCATCACTAAATTTGAAGCTTCAAACAATACAAAGACTCATCGGTTTGAATCCTTTGTATGTGTGTGTGTGTGTGCGCGCGCGCGAGCGAGAGAGAGAGAGGCTTGACCGCTTAAGTGCTTAAAGCTGGTTTAACAAGAGAGGCTCAACCACTCACGCCTTGTTAACACTTTTCAGGAAGAAAGACGATGTATAATAATCAAAGACGGATGATATCGTAGTTTGATTTGTTTGTTTTTTCTGGGCCCTTTCTATCTGTTTTGAGCCTGATATGGACTGGGTGGGGCTAGAGGTTGTCATGTCACTCGTAGATAGGACCGTTGAGGGAAAGAAAAATTTTCCCCATAGTAAAGATCCATTTGTAACAATGTTCTGATAAACCATATTAGATCATCAATGGAGACTTATAAATTTACTTAAATTTAAGTATAAAAAAAAAGAGGTAAAAAATTTGATTTAGATTTTTTTAAAGGAAATACTCAAATTTAAAGGAAAGACAAATTCAAATTTAAAAGATGATTAAATATAATCAGTAAATCTTTAAAAATGATAAAATTTTACTATTAAATATATAGGTATATATTTGAGTAAAAAAAAAAAGAATTTTCATTGATTTGATATGGGTATGGATCTAGCACCGAAGAAAATTTTTAAGAATTTTTTATTCAAATTTAAATTTGGGTTTAAAAAATTGTGAGGATTGGAAATGTTCTTAGTCTTTCAATTTTGATTTCAGTTGTCTCAATTTAATTTCTCTATTAATGTAAAATTAATAGTTAAAGAGATTAATAATAATTGAAGAACTAAATTAAAACAAGTGAAAATGTTTGAGTACAATAAGGCCATAGGAATTTTGTTGTGAAGCAGTGAAATATATAAAAATCGGAAAAAAATACTAATGACAAAAGTATTTGATTGATCGACATTGACACCGAGAGCAGAGGGCCGAGAAGCGAATGAGGTTAGATACCTCAATGGTTCTAAGTTATATCCACGTAAATGATGGCAATAAAACTTAAAATATTAATTTTGATATTTACCCCTTTTTTTTCCTCATTTTATTATGGGGAGACATGAGATTTTGTTGGCATTGAACCTCACCCAACGGATGGCCCAGCCACGTGGCCCAAGGGTACAAACTTTTACTGTTCTACATCTTGGCCCGTGCAGTAGGGTTTCGGGTCCATATTGTTGGTCGGTTAACTTAAAACGGGCTAATACAATTAAAGCCCACTGAATGTGACATTTCCTCTGGCCTAACTCAATGTCCTAAAATTCTAGTTTTTTTAAGAATTTTTTTGGAGGTTGGTACTTAGGTCAGATTTCAAAAAAAATCTATTCACTAATTTTTTTTTTTTTTAAATTAGGTTCCTATTAAAAAATCAAAGTAATAGACATAACTAACGCCCTTTAAAAATTATAAAAATAATGATAATGTAATCATCTAATTGAAACACATATTCTAAAAAATTACATCATCATAATGTACATTTTTCTCCATAAATACAGATCATTAGATACGTACACTAAAACACAAATCGTTAATGTACGTTATTCTCCATAAACACAGATCGTCAAACAGATACACTAAAATATAAATCGTCAAACGTCATCATAAGGTCCAAATAACTTGGTTCACGAGTTTGAATTTTAAAACTGATAAACAACACCGCAAAAACCTTAATAACCAAAAAAAAAAAAAATTTATATTTTAGGTTAAAATTATGTGATGAGGGCAAAATGGATAATAAAAATCAGTAACTAACCAATCCCTTGACATTTGCGCCACACACAGGGATCGTATTCAAGTTTTTTTAAAAATCGGAGGCCCTTTTTCTATACTAAAAACTCAATAGTACTAAAATTAGTTTACACACCAAATAAGAGATCCAATCATAATTTTGTATTTTTTCCCCTCATTTTATTATGCGGAGACATGAGATTTGTTGGCATTGAGCCTCAAACCACGGATTGGCCCAGCCCTGTGGCCCAATAGCCCTAAGCCTTTTACTGTTCTACATATTGGCCCGTGGGGTAGGGTTTCGGGTTCATATTGTTGGTCGGTTAAGCCGAAACGGGCTAATCCAATTAAAGCCCACTGAATTTGACATTAGCCTGTGGCCCAACTCAATGTCCTAAAATTCTAGTTTTTTGAATTAATATGAAAATGGAATCAAATGGTGTAAATATAGCTAAAACAAACCTTAAATTTTGGGCAAATAGGGTAAATTTTTTAATGATTCTAATTTATTTATCTAAATACTTGAATTTCTTTTAATTTCATTTTTTTTTCTTTCTTCACATCTTGTTCAATATTTTCAGTATCTCCGTGTAACTTTTTTTACATATTTATAAAAAAAATAATAATATATTTATGCTTTTGGAACAAAATTGAGAAGTTCAGACCTAGATTTTCTTTAATATTAATTTTTTAGTACGTCAATGGTCGATTATGCATAATTATAAATAATAACGTTTATAATGACTCATCAACTCGATAAAAACTGACCATGAAAAATTTATTTATCATGAATATAATAAGGAAACAGTGCAGCCACTAAAAGAAGCTGATCTCTCTGGATACAGTCATATATGCACTGCTATAAACACCTAAAATTTATCTCTGGATACAGCCAAATCCAACTATACAAGGCAATCATGATTGCCAACGGCTATTTTGCCTAATTGTTTACATCCTACAATTACTCTCATTCGATGTAAAGAAATATTCACCGTGTAATATTGTCTATATAAGATAATCAAACAAATGCTAATCTCAATTAAGAGAGAGAGCAATTCATCTATTGCACGTGTGTGATTGTTTATATGCCCTAATCTCAATGTAAATGACATATCTTTGACTGAACCAAACATAGAAGTAATCGAGATGCACATAAGTTATCCTAGACACCCTAACCCGTTTGAACAAAAAATAAATTGACAAAAACTCGACACAATGCTATCATATGTGAGTTTAAAACAAATGATTCAAGTTGATTCATTAGACCCGTTTATACATGACACGAAAGAATCCAAATATACACAAAACGACTCTAACATGACATAATAGTTTATACAAAAATAACAATTTTTAAGACTTTTTTAGTACCTTATTGAAAACCTATTTTTAGTATAACAAGTCTTTCGTTTTAAAAAAAAAAAAGAGTCCCATTCAGACATTTTTGGCTGAATAAATTTTAGATATGACACGAATCTGATATAATTTCGGTTATCATCAACCAAGGGAGCATGCATGTGTGGCAAACACATGAGCTCAACTACCTTTGCTGCATCTTCTTGTTCAATTTAAGTTTCACCTTGTACTGCCTGGCTCTTGTAATGTCCCTTATTTGGGCCCTAAAGTTGCTACCCCAGAGGTCAAGCCAATATCATCACAATGAATGTCTCAAACCTAAATGGATTCAATTGTTTGATCTGTCCAATTGTCACATACTAAGAATAAATTCTACAACCATACAAGTGTCTCGAGAATTTATACGCCGAAATTCTTGAACATTAGGATTTTAAAAAAAAAAAAAAAAATGCATTCCGATGTCTTCAGCAGGGGAAGTTGCAGCAAGGGCAGTTGCATCGGTATAATAATCGACGGTTTATTATAAGCATTGTCTAATACGGCATGCGCCAAGTATTCGATGTTTCAAAAGAGAAAAAAAAACAGAAGCATTGCCCATCAAGGATCTGTAATGGTACCATAAGAAAGACAATCTTAGCCTTTTATTTCAAACTCAGAGCAGAGTAGTACTACAAAATACCAGGAAGTTGATTATTTGTGATTCAACGAAGAGAGAATTAATCGAGATGCACGTAAGTTGGTACGAACACATAACCGTTGAAAAAAAAAAATAAGGGCTTGTTTGCATAGTGTTTCAAAAACTATTTTTTGTTCTCAAAATACTAAAAATAAGGCAAAACTTGTTTGGCTAAAATTTTCATTCTCCAAAATTTCAAAGAAAGTGGAAAATGAGATTTAATTTTAGAAAAAAAAAGTAGACTTATTTTGGGGTGTCTTGAAGACAAAAGATGGGAAAATGGGAAACACGAGAAACAAAACACTCATTAATGAGATCTCTCATTCAAACCTCCTTAGCAGTAAAATATAAAATACTATAAAAAAATTTTTTTTTCCTTTTTTGCCTTTCTTTCTCCCTCACTTTCTTTATCTCCACTTTGGCCCTCAACAGAAAGAACACACACAAATAGGGGCTTCAGATCGGTGTTTGATTTGGTTTAATTGACGAGATCAACCAGTTTTCAATCAGCAAGATCAACCAATCTTCAAATCTGATTTTTTTGGTTCAAATCTGATCTAGTTCAAGGGACTTCAGATTTGATCTAATCTGTTCAATCTGCGAGAACAACCGACATCGATCAGCGAGAACAACTCTCCCTTCGAATGACTTCTTTAGATTTGGTTTAAGGGGCTAATTGCGTTATTTGTTTGTTTTTTTTTAAAAAAAATTATTAGTATTTTGTATATCTTTTCTATTGAATCTGTTTGGTTTTATTTCAAATGAAGGCCATTGATATATTTTTTTATATTGATTCTATTTTTGATGAAGACCATTGAATCTGTTTGGTTAATTTTAAAGTTTGATTTATTAAATTTTTGTATGAAAATGTCAATCTAAATAATATATATATATCTCAAGAGAGAGATTTTAGAATCATCTGACCAAACAAGTTTTTTATCTTAGAAACAATCAAAATACGTTTTTCTAAAATTTTTCTCAAAAATAATTTTTAAATAATATTTTTTAAGATACAAACCAAACAGGCCATAAAATTCTAAGTTTTTATGTTTTTTTTTAAATTTTAGAATAAGCTAAAGATCATATGTTGATCTCAATGATTGAAGACAACTTTACTCCTGAGATTGGAATGAGGTCCATAACCCACATGGGATGGGACATGTACAATAAACCCATGGTTGGAGCTTGCTCCCCTTTGGGACATCATGATCCAGTGAGCTAATCAATGCTCTTTC